GCCCCTTGCGGCCGTACCTATTGAACACGTTCCGGGGCAGCAGAGGAGAAAAAGGGCCCGCTCCAGCAAAGAAGTTGACTTCCTCGGCACCAGTTCAGAAGAGCCAGTAAGGGAGGTACTGGAGGCTCTCCCTCCGGAAACAGCTGCAGTGGCGGTGGTCCACAGCAAGTATTGGACCGAAGAGTGGAGGGACCACGCCGCCTCCTGCACTGCTGAAGACTTGGTGGCGGCGAACAGCGCCTGCGTGGCCCGGGCACTAAGCACAAGTATCCAACTCGAGGGCTTGGTGAAGGATCTAAACTCCAAGAGGGAGGACCTCGCCAAGCGCCTCGAGGAGGCGATGCACTACGGGGACGCTGTGCGAGCTGCCCAGGCCAAAGCCGCCAAAGCAGAGGAGGGGAAGAGAGCTGCTGAGGTCCAGCTCGCTGCTTCGCAGGCGGAGGTGGAGCGGCTGAAAAAAGAGCTCTATGAGGTGGAGTGTCAGGTGGCTGTGGTGACTCGGTGGCTTGACCACGCTAACGAGCACCACAAGCTTGCCATCGATGCCCTGGAGGCCTCCAACAGAGAAAAAGCGGAGCTGAAGCAGCAAGCAGAGGCCCAGTCAGTGGAGATTGCCTCTCTCAGGGAGGAGTTAAAGTCTGCGGGGGAGGTGGCGGTTCAAAATTTTATTGATCACTTCGAAGACCACCCCCTCTATGACGACTTTGCCAACTTCTGGGCCTCGTGGAGTGCCCAAAGCCTACTGGGTCGGCTGAAGGAGGTGCACCCTACACTGGACATCTCTCAACTAGAGGCAGAGTTCGGGGGACCCACTGGAGGTCGGCCTGACAAGGTTACTGAGGGGGTTCCAGAGGCCCAGGAGGCGGCCAGTGCTGAAATTCCTCCCACAGATTAGGGTTTCCTTTGTAATGGCTTCGGCCCCCCATGTACTTCAATTTCATGAAATGGAAAATTTTGTTAAATTTCTGTAAAGTTCTTTTGCTTCTGCTTCTTTGTATCCCTTTTTGTTTTATACTTGTATGAATGACAAACATTAGGCCAACTGCCTCGTGATAACGACCAGTTAACAATCGTGAATCGGTCCCCTTAAGCGAACACAAGTCTAAACACTTAAGTGAGTAGGAAGTGACCCCCTTACCTTAACTTCTTAATAATCTGAGGCCAGACCAATTGGGAAAACGTGAGGAAACGTTTGTTCATCAGCTAATAAGTGACGATCGAATCGCTCGCTCAAATGAACCTTTCGAAGAACTGAGGAAACCATTCCCTGGCTGATCCGGTTTGGAACTGAAAATTCATTACTGGAGATAAATTACACCACCCTTTACAAAGGTGATTCCATCATTTAATAGTCTTTACAACCAATGTCAGATCAGGACAACCGATTTAGCTATGACGACCTAGGATCAAATTGGAACATTCTTGTCACTGATAGTATTTTCTCAAGTGCTCGATGTTCCATTTGTGAGGTAACACCCTTCCTGACATATCTTCGACCTCGAAAGTACCAGGTCGGGATTCTCCCTGAATGCGGTACGGGCCTTCCCAGTTCGGGCTAAAAACTCCTGACCCGGTTGGTTTCGAAGATTGGAACACTCTTTTGAGAACGAGGTCGCCCAAGCGGAGAGTCCTGTTTCTGACCTTGGAGTTGTAAAAGCGGGTCATCTTACGATGATATTTCGCTAAGGTCATCTGGGAAGCGTCTCTCTTTTCCTCAAGGAGGTGTAGTTCACTTATGCGCGCCTCATCGTTGCTGATCTCATTGAAATGTATCCGCCGATGTGATGGGACACCGACCTCGATCGGACTCATCGTTTAGGCTCCGTAGGTCATTGAGAATGGGGTCTCGCCCATTGCGGTCCGGCAAGTCACCTTCCCAGTTCGGGCTAAAAACTCCTGACCCGGTTGGTTTCGAAGATTGGAACACTCTTTTGAGAACGAGGTCGCCCAAGCGGAGAGTCCTGTTTCTGACCTTGGAGTTGTAAAAGCGGGTCATCTTACGATGATATTTCGCTAAGGTCATCTGGGAAGCGTCTCTCTTTTCCTCAAGGAGGTGTAGTTCACTTATGCGCGCCTCATCGTTGCTGATCTCATTGAAATGTATCCGCCGATGTGATGGGACACCGACCTCGATCGGACTCATCGTTTAGGCTCCGTAGGTCATTGAGAATGGGGTCTCGCCCATTGCGGTCCGGCAAGTCATTCTGATGGCCCAGAGGACGTGGGGGAGTTCGTCAACCCAGGCGCCTTTTGAGGCATCCAGTTTCCTTTTAAGGGTGTGCTTGATAGTCTTGTTCACTGCTTCGACCTGTCCATTTGCCTGAGGGTGATGTGGAGTCGAGAAGTCTTTCTTTATGCCTAGTTCGTCGCATAACTCTCGCATCTTCCTGTTGTCGAACTGCCACCCATTATCAGAGACAATGGAGTGGGGGATGCCGAATTTGCAAATGACGTTCTTCCAAACGAACTTCGTAGTGTTGGCCCCGGTGAATCGGGCAAGGGGTTCTGCCTCGACCCACTTAGTGAAGTAGTCGATGGCGACAATGGCAAAAGTTACGCTTCCTCTACCCTTTGGTAGCGGACCAATGAAGTCGATGCCCCACTTGGCGAA